TTGTTAGAAAATGGAGGAGCTGGCTGATCAATTTCAATAGTTTAAGGAGCTTATAATAATTATACGTTAGTCCTTATTGAATTATGTAAACTTGAACAGCAAAATAATCGGCGCCAAGTACTTCAAGCACGACGGAAACGTGCCTACCGGCGAAATCCGATCACCGATCGACATCGACGGCCATGGAACGCACACGTCATCCACCGCAGCCGGCGTTCTGGTCGCAAACGCGAGTCTCTTTGGCATAGCAAGCGGCACCGCACGCGGCGCGGTTCCGTCGGCGAGGTTAGCGATGTACAAGGTGTGTTGGTCGAGAGGCGGCTGCGCCGACATGGACATCCTCGCCGGATTCGAAGCGGCGATTCACGACGGTGTAGACGTCATCTCCATCTCAATCGGCGGTCCGATCGCGAGTTATTCTACCGATTCGATATCCGTCGGGTCATTTCACGCGATGAGGAAAGGGATCCTTACGGTGGCTTCCGCCGGAAACGACGGACCATCTTCAGCGACTGTAACGAATCACGAGCCTTGGATATTGACGGTTGCTGCAAGCGGAATCGATCGGTCGTTCAAGAGTCAGATCGATCTCGGCAACGGAAAATCCTTCTCTGTAAGCAATTAATTTCTCCTCTTAATAACTTTTGCTTAAGAAAAAGTTGTGAAATAATTTGATGATGAAATTAAGGGAATGGGAATAAGCCTGTTTAAGCCAAATGCCAAATCTTATCCGCTTGTAAGCGGCGTTGATGTTGCTAAGACCTCAGACGACAAGTTCATGGCCAAGTACTACTACTTAAAGATTTGAATCTCTTTGTTTTTAAGACATAAAACCTAATAGGTGACTTAACATGTTTGTTGATGATGATGATATGCAAAAGGTATTGCTTCTCTGATTATTTGGACCGGAAGAAAGTGAAGGGAAGGGTGGTGGTTTGTAGAATGGGAGGAGGTGGTGTGGAGTCGACTGTTAAAAGCTACGGAGGTGCTGGTGCGGTTATAGTAAGCGATCAATATCTTGATAACGCTCAGATTTTCATGGCTCCAGCCACCACTGTTAATTCCTCCGTTGGCGATGCTATCTACCGATACATCAACTCTACAAGGTCCTTCTTGATTTCTTGGATATGATAATTTCCCCAAAAAGAGAAGTGTGCCGTTTAACTCTCTTGTTTGATACAGATCACCATCGGCCGTGATCCAGAAAACCCGGCAAGTGACAATCCCTGCTCCATTTGTTGCTTCTTTTTCATCAAGAGGTCCCAATCCAGGATCAATACGCCTTCTCAAGGTGTTAAACTAAACCTGTATGGTCACTATGTCATATCTGATTATGAGAATCTTATGTATGTTTTCTGCCGTTTCTTTTGCGGATTTTAATTAGCCTGATATCGCTGCACCCGGGATTGATATATTGGCGGCTTTCACTCTCAAGAGATCACTGACTGGGTTAGATGGTGACACCCAATTCTCAAAATTCACCATCCTGTCTGGTACTTCAATGGCATGCCCTCACGCTGCTGGTGTTGCCGCTTACGTCAAGTCTTTTCATCCGGATTGGTCACCCGCTGCGATCAAATCCGCCATCATAACCTCAGGTAACCCAAGAGCCCGGTCTTATTCTCATAAATATACCAAATACAAAACAGAGAAAGAAAGATAAACTCTGTTTTCACTCTTGAAGAAAGACCTTTAACATGTCTGTATTTGTTATGTAGCAAAACCGATAAGCAGAAGAGTGAACAAGGACGCTGAGTTTGCTTATGGAGGAGGCCAAATAAACCCAAGAAGAGCAGCGAGTCCTGGCTTAGTCTACGACATGGACGACATCTCCTATGTGCAGTTCCTATGCGGGGAAGGCTACAACGCGACCACTCTTGCGCCACTTGTGGGGTCACGGTCCGTGAGCTGCTCGTCCATTGTCCCTGGACTAGGCCACGATTCCTTAAACTACCCAACAATCCAACTGGCGTTGAAAACTGCCAAAACGTCGACGATGGCTGTGTTCAGGCGGAGAGTCACCAACGTTGGACCACCGTCGTCGGTCTACAACGCCATCGTCACGGCCCCGAAAGGGGTAGAGATTACGGTGGAGCCAAAGAGTTTGTCGTTTACAAAGGCTTCACAACAGAGGAGCTTCAAAGTGGTGGTCAAGGCACAACAAATGACTCCAGGGAAGATTGTGTCGGGCTTGCTCGTATGGAAGAGCCCACGTCACTCTGTTCGTAGCCCCATTGTTATCTATAGTCCTACTTCTGATTGAAAATGAACTACATTTTAATTTATTAATATGTAACCATTTCACTAGTTCAGAAATTCCATAAAATAAATGCGACTTGTATATATCTCGTTCATAGGACCATCATCATCTAGATTTTTGGTCAAGATCAATATATGTATCATTTTCCTTCAGAAACTTAGCAAATAATCTGAAATTTTTTTAGCAAAACAAACACTACCATTGGAGTAATGATTTTTGATATTCTTTTTTCAAAATTCAAATGAATTCTAATAGATTGAAAAGTCTTTCTCAGCCCATGTTAGAATCTACGGGCCCATAACGAATAACAAAATATTTTGTATTATTGACGGAATTACCCTTGTCTTCCTTCCCTGAGCATGTATGCACTATCGGAAAAGCCCTAAAGACTCTCTTTCGTCGTCATCAATGGAAGCTTCTCTACCCGAAGAAGTGCTTCAACCGCTGCTCGATGCTTCGGATTCATCGTGTTCTCTAGAAGATTGCTTGCAGTTTCTCCTAGAGACTTCCAGGACCGATTCAGGCCGCTCCGATCTCGCTTCCAAGGCTATCCTTCCGTCTATCCTTCGTCTTCTTCCTTACCCAACTTCTCGGCATTACCTCAATCTCTCCCTGAAAGTCCTTCGAAACCTCTGCGCCGGAGAGATTTCGAATCAGAACGCTTTCATCGATCACAACGGCTCTGCTCTCGTTTCCGACTTGCTGGTTTCCGCGATTGAAGATTTCGAGACTGTTCGGTTCGGATTGCAGGTTCTGGCGAACGTTGTTGTGTTCGGAGAGAAACGCCAGAGAGATGTTTGGATGCGCTTTTTCCCGGAGAGGTTTTTGGCGATCGCTAAGATTAGGAGACGTGAAACCTGTGATCCTCTGTGTATGATTTTGTATACTTGCTTTGATGGAAGCACAGAGATAGCTTCAGAGCTTTGCAGCAATGTAGGGCTCACCATCATTGCTGAAACTGTACGGACATCATCTTCCGGTAAGACATTGCTCTAATGATTTGAGTAAATTAGGAACCAAGTAAGTTTCGTTGATGTTGTTAATTGTTTGTAGTTGGGTCTGTAGAGGATTATTGGCTCAAGTTACTGGTTTCGAGACTTTGTGTGGAAGGAGATTGCTTCCCTGACCTCTTCTCCAAATTATACAAGTCCGAAGGTGAGACATTTACATCAGAACAAGCCTTTCTTCTGAGGATGGTCTCTGATATTGCAAATGAGCGGATAAAAGAAGTGACAATCCCCAAGGATGCAACTTGTTTCATTCTGGGATTACTCAAGCAATCAGTTGGCGTTTTTGATTTTGCCTCGGGTGAAAGATCCGAGCTTCCGACGGGTTCAACTATAATCGACGTAATGGGCTACTCTCTGGTGATAATAAGGGACGCTTGCGCTGGAGGAAGCCTTGAAGAACTCAAGAACGCAGACAAGGATTCAGGTGATACTGTGGAGTTGATGTTGTCTTCTGGACTAATAGAGCTACTCCTTGATCTGCTTCGCAAACTCGAGCCTCCAACAACAATAAAGAAGGCTCTAAACCATAGTCCTAG